TATTTCCCTATCATTATTATTATTATTACTATTATTATTTCTTATCGTATTTTTAATGTAAAATTTGGGTTTGTTAAGTACAAAAGAAAAAAATAAATTTTTGTTTTTGTCAATGATGACCAAAAATTTTATGAAAAACGTTTCTAGGAGAAAATGTTTTATCAGAAAATGTTTTGGGTAAAAAATTGAATGTCAATTTATTTTTTTATTTTTTTTTTTTGGTAAAACGTCGTGAATAGTTTTTTTTTTCTTTTATCATATGTATTGTGCGAATAAAGGGTGTCGTAAATAATAATAATAATAATAATAAATGAAAAATTCATGTTAAAACGTTATTATTAAAAGGTTGACGCGATGATTCGAGTTTGTATGTATGCATGGGTAGATTTGTTTTCGATGTTGGCGACAATAAAAATATTTTTTCTCCCCTCTCCCCTCCCCTCCCCCTTCTTCTATTTTTTTTTATTGAAACGATTCAGGTTTTTCAATATGGAGACATAAATTTTTATTAAATCTTTTTTTTTATTTTATGTGTTTGTGGTAGGTAGGTTGAAGAGAAGATACGCATTTTTTTTTTCAGGTAGCGTTCACGGTTTTTTAAAGTTTATTTACCGAATTTCACTTTCGTTTGTGTTTACCACTAGGGAGGGGGGGGGGAGAAAAAAATTCTTTAGATTGCGGAGTTGTTGTTGTTGTTACTACTACTCGTATATTCGTTGAAAATTATTTGATTGTTTGTTTTGCTGTCGTATCGATCGATAAATTTTTGTGAACTCATATATATTGGTGTGGTGATTTTTTTGCTTTTAACGTTTTTTTTTTTTTTAAATAATTTTTACATAACATAGTGCGAAACATTTAGTTTATTGAATTAACAACAACAACAAACAAACAAAGACGCTCCTCAAACATTTGCGAAAAATAATAATTTTTTAAACTAGAATCACGGCCGAGGTATTTTACTTCTTTTTCTCTCTCTTTTTCAAAGCTTTGTCTACATATATAAATTTTTTTTTTTTAGCTTTAAAATATTCTTTCACATGTTTTTTTTTCCATTTTTCTAATTAGTGTCTATCATTATGTGGCATAAGTGGAGAAGAGAAGTGGGTTGGTTGTTTGTTTGGGAAAATTATCTTTAAAAAAATTTTTTTTTTTTTATATATATATATATCGCGAACAAATGTTGTGTAAACGCACATGTTTTTAAGTAAAAAGATTTTATTATTATTATTATTATTATTATTATTATTATTATTATTATTATTATTGATAGGCCTAAAAATTTTTGTGTGAAATCGTGATTTCAGTGATTTTTTTTTTTTTTTTTTGACGTCATTGAAAATCAAGCTCATTAGACTCGTACATAAAAACGTAGAGTTTTCATACCGTAATTAAAATTTATATTTTTGATTATTATTATTATTATTATTATTATTATTATTATTATTATTATTTATTATTATTATTATTTCTCTTTTTTTTATATATATATTAAAAATAACGAGTGAAAGTTATTTAAATTTAACTTTTGCCGATGTATCAACAACAACAACACGAGAGAGAAAGATATCAATCGTAAATAATAATAATAATAATAATAATTTAAATTAGTTTTTTAAAAATTTTGAAAATTTTACGCTTTTCAAATTGGTTTTTCTCCCCTCCCCTTCACCCACCCACCTTCTTCATCTTCTTCTTGCGGTTTCTTGCGAGTTTTCTTGTTTTGGTTTAAAACACTCATTATTAGTTCCGCAAAACAAGTCAAACGTTTTAAAAAAAAAAAAAATTTATTTTGTGTATTTTTATTTTTTTATTTAAAAAAAAAGCAATTAAAAACACGCGCTTTAAAAAAATGGTAATAATAATAATAATAATAATAATAATAATAATTTTTCGATTGTTTATTTTTGTTATTTTTCGTGAAGGATTTAAAAGGAAAAAATAAATATGTTGTCTTGAAAATGTTAGTTTGTTGTTAAGTTGCATTTTAAAACATGCTTATTAGTAATAATAATAATAATAATAATAATAATAATAAAACAGTAGTTCGGTTAGGCACAGTAGCAGGTCGTTAGTTTGGTAAATTTTGTTGTTGGCTAAAAAAACCATTTTTAATTTTTTTTTTTTTTTTTGTTTTTTTCTCCCCGTAATAAAAATTTGCATGTAGAGAAGACGTTACATTTATTGTCGTATATTTATTTTCACGCACGAATAACTACTGAAGGTTTATTATTATTATTATTATTAGCGACTTAATACGTATATTAACTAGGTGTCATAAGTAATAAGAAAGCAAACTTTTTTTTTTTTTTTTTGTGTTTTTCGCAATGACTTGAGTGAAGTTGTCGGGAATAATTTGGTGTAAGATCACGTTCTCTAAGATTTCCCTGCTGGTTTTCATAAATTTTAAAATGATTTGAAGAGAAAAAAAAAAAAAATTTTTTTTTAAAGGATGACTAGTACTAACTTAACGCACGAACTTAAAACGCAACACTTGTTGTTTATCATCATAACAAATTATTATTATTATTAATATTATTATTATTATTTTTGTTGTTTTGTTACAGAGAAGTGAGAATGGGTGTTAAACAGAGTAAACGTTCGGTGGATATAACGGAAACTTCTACGAAAGGGGAAATTGAAGGTTTCGGAAATGAAGGAAAAGTTGAGAAAATCGTGGATGGCGTCATGGATAAAATGGTTGTCAACGGTCACGTCGATGGAGATTTACAAGTGAGTTTAAAAAAAAAAAACACTTTTTGAAATTTGAAAAAAAAAATAAATAAGAGAGAGAGAGAGAGTGTGTCTTGAGTTTGACTTGTAGTGTCATCAGAAAATAAATTTTTTTTTTTTAAAAAGCTTCGTGCGGTTCATTTAATAATTTAAATTATTTATCTTTTGAAATGATTGTGTAGGAGTTAATTTTAACACAATGCAACACAATATGTACAGTTGAATACAACAAAAAAAAAAATTTTTTTTTTTTTTTTCGGAGAATGAATCATTTGGCAATTTAAATGAAATTATTTGATTTTCAAATGGTTTTCTTAACACTGATAACTCGTATATTCTCGTTCATTTCATTCACGTGATGATGCCATTACTGATTTCCGGTCGACCATTACTCGGTCGCTTTAGTCAAAACATGCCAATTTTTAAATTAATTTTTTTTTTTTTTTTTAATAATGTTGTCGTCTTGTTTTCTCTCTCTCTCTCTCTTTCTCTCACTCTCTCTCCTACGTTTAGCGTATGCTAATTCGTGTAATTCGTTTTTGTGACGTTTTAAAAATTTATAATCTGAAGAAGTTGTCTGGTGCATAGAAAGAATATTGAATGCATTTTTTTTTTTTTTTTATAAATCACATAAGAGCATTAAAATGAACGAATACACAATCGATTTAAAAAAAAAAAAACTCAGTGGAAGTTGTCAGAAAAAAAGTAAATTATGTTCCTCCTCCTTCTCCTTTCCCCCCTCTTCCTCCTCCCCCTCCTCCCTTGTTTAGCTAGCTAGCTCGGTAATATTTCAGGTATATAATACGTTTTGTTGTAATTTTTAAAATTTTAGACAGGTTGTTGTTGTTGTTGTTGGGGGTGTGGGGTGAGGTGGGTGGGAAGTGGGGTGGAATCCTGTCTCTGTTTACCTTTAGTAAGATACTATCCTCTCTCTCTCTCTCTCTCTCTCTCTCTCTGCCTTCCCCCCTGGTTTTTTTCATCTTTTTTTTTTCGGACTCGTTAATTTATCAGTTGGTTCGTTAGTTTAAACTTATTTGATAGAACATAAAAACTTATTTAGAATATTTATTTATTTATTTTTAATTTAAAACATAAAAAAAAAAAAAATTGTGTCGCCATTTTGTTGATTCATTCTTCGAATTAATAAATTTTTTTTTTTTTTTTTTTTGCCATCAATGAAAATTCGCTCGAAAAAATATTTTAAGGTCGAGTAACAAGTAGCGAGTACGTGAGATATCAGAATTTTTCCTTTTTTTTTTATTGTGTATATACGTTTACTTGATAAGAAACGACCAGATTTTCTTTTTTTTGTTCCTGGTTGTTGTGGTTGTTGTTGTTGTTGTTGGGGAGTCTTAAATTATATTATATACAACAACAAATAAATGAAACAAACAAATGTGAAAACAAACAATTTTGTTTAAGTTTGAAAAATTTTTTTTCAAAGAAAAGAATAATAATAATCAGGATGTATAAAAAAAAAAAAAAAAAAAAAAAGTTAAATTTACGATTCGATTATTATTATTATTATTATTTCTTCCTTTTCCCCTCCCTCTCCCCTCTCCTCTTCTCTCTCCACCCCTCCTCCCTCTTTTTCTTCTCTTAATGTCAACCGTTATTTTTTATGCTCTTCCTTTTTGTTTTTGTTTTTGGTTTTAATGAAGTAATTTGTAATTTATTTTTGATTATTGAAAAATGGCTTCCGTAAATTTATAGGAAATAATAATGATGATAATAATAATAATAATAACCGAAACATTTTTTTTATACAATTAATTAAAAAACGAATGTTTGATTTTAATTCATTTATATTTTTTTTTTATAAATGAAAATTATTTTTTTAAAAACGATTTTTTAATTAATAATTTTTGTTTGTTTCGTGTTTGTGTTTGTTCTCCTTGTATTTAAAAAAAAAAAAAAAATTTTTCACACGAGTCTCTTAATTTCCAATTGAATAAAATGCCTCCTGATGAATTTGTTATGCAGTCATTAAAAGTTTGATTAAAGTCTAATCGGAAAATTTTAGGAGTCAAACGCGAATAATTTTAAAGTTAAATGAAATATAAAATTTATAGACGCTAATTAACTTTATGTGAAAGGTTTTTAAACCTCTCAAAAATCCTTTAAATTCAAAAAAAAAAAAAAAACCTTTTAAAGTTTTATTCATAACCTTTTTTTTTATTTTTTTTTTTTTCCTTTTCTAGAACGGAGGAGAAGTTCATCAAAATGGTATAGAACCCGTGCAGAACGGGGAAGCGGCTGCTGTAGTAGTCGAAGCCGTGAAAAACGAAGAAGTCGAAGAAGAAATAAACGGTGTCAAAGAAGAGGTTAACGGAGAAGTAAACGGGGAAGTGGTTGATGATAAAGGAGGAGAGGAAGGAAAGAAAACGGATGAGAAAAAAGAGAAGAAAAAGGAAAAGAAGGAGAAACACGTGAAGAAAAAATTTTCCTTTAGGAATTTTAGCTTTTCGAAAAAGGACAAAGCGAAACCTCCGAAAGAAAATGAAAAATCACCGGAGAAAACGGAAAAAGGCGATGTGAGTAGTATTATTATTATTATTTTATTTTTTTTAAAAGCGCGCCCGTACGTCCGTAAAAAGGAATAAAAAATTTATTAAAAAAAAAAAAAGGAAAATGAAAACTTAAAACAATCAATTCAACAAACAAACAAACAAACAAACTCGGTCACTGAAGGTATTTTCCCGATTTTTTGTTTTAACGGTCTAACGGTGACGATTCGTTTAAATAAATAATTTTAAAAAAATAATACGCCCACGCACGCACGCACACGCACACGCAACGTTCTTAATCCGCGTCCATTTTTCCTCGACATTGAAATTTTTTATAACGATTTTCAATTAGCAAATTTCGAGCCATCATCACAATTTGTTGCAAATTAAATTATACAAATGTGAGGACGACATTTTTTTTTTTCTTTCTTTCTCGTTTGCCTTAGTTTTAAAGGTTGTCATGGTAACGAAAAGTTTCATTTCATCCCTTAACGCTAGGCCGTGTGTGGGTGGGATGGTGGGGGTGGGTAGTTCGAATGAAAAGTTTTGTTTCACGCCCAAAAAAAAAAAAAAAAACGCGTAATTGCGCGTAACCTTTTACGTATATATATTTTAATTACGTCATTTTTTTTTTTTTTTTTTTTTAAATGCCGTTTTAAATATTTTGCAATTTTTTTTTTTTTCTTCTTTTCCTTCTCTTCATTCAAGTATGACGTGAAATAATAATAATAATAATATTTGTTTTCACTTTGTTTTTAAATAATTATTTATTTAGTATCGTTAAATAATTTTTTAAAAAGGAGGGGTAGTATAATTAATTACGGAAAATTTTTTTTTTTTTTTTTTGGGTAAAATCGTTCTTGCGTAATTTTTTAATTGTTCCCCCCCCCCTTCCCCCTAGATAAATAAAATTTTTCCAAAGTTATTTCGAAAACAAAGCACGTAAAAAAAAATTTTTTTTTTTTTTTTTTTTTGTCTTTTTTGTAATTTTCTGTCCTCACTTGTCTGTCATTCACGCATTTTTTTTTATAACGAAACAAAAGTAGGAATAATAATAATAATAATAATAATAATAATAATAATAATAATAATAATTATAGTTACGTTAAAGAAATGAGTTTTCGACAAAACAATAATTGTCGCTTCGTTATTATTATTATCATTATTAATAAATTTTTCACACGATTTTAAAATGTATTTAAATTTTTAATGAGGAGTGTGAAGAAAAAAAAAAAAACACGCGTCGTTTGTCGTACGTAACATCAATCACATATAAATTCATTTCCTTTGAAAATTTTCCTTAAATCGTTCACGAATCATCGTCTTTTATTATATTATTATTATTATTATTATTATTATTATTATTATTATTATTATTATTATTATTATTATTATTATTATTATTATTATTATTATTATTAATGTTTCGAATGTTTGTTAATTTATAAAAAATTTGTCACACAAAATTTTAATTTTTTTTTTCCGTCGTTTGTTCGAGTTGTTGTTGTTGTTGTTGTTGTTGTTGTCGTCATTGTCGAAATCCATCTCTTCATCGGTGTGTGACAGTTTATTGGAATTGTTTCTTTTAATGACGTCATTAATTTTATGTTTTAAAAATGCAATTCATTCGATCGACGATGATGGATTGGATTGAATCGGGGGGGGAAAAAAAAAATATTGGCAGGGATTTTTTTGGCGGGAAAAAAAAAAATGTTTGTCACGTGGTATCATGCACTTGAATTTTTAAATTCTTTTCTCTCTCTCTCTCTCTCTCTCTCTCTCGTAAGTTTTCTTTTTTTTTTTTTTTTATTTTAATTTTACTTTTATTTTTATTAGTAAACTTACTTACGTATAGTCGTAATAATAATAATAATAAAAGCATGACGAAATATGTACGAATTTTATTTTAGGGAGAATTCGAACTCAAATTTTGCTTTCTACGAAAAATGTTAAATCGTGACGAATGAGAAAAAAATGGAAAAAATGTAATAATAATAATAATGATAATAATAGAAATTTTTTTCGAAATCGAGAGAAAACACATGAATAATGATGATGATGATGATGATTACTTATTAAATTTAACCATGTTGATATGACATTAAATTTTATTATTTTAAATAAATTAATTTTAATTCGAATGATTTTTTTTTAAAGAGAATGTCGTTATTTTGATTGATTATTAATAATAATAATAATAATAATAATAATAATACCGCGAGCGTGTGGAAACGTACGGTTGGTAAAATCGAAATCGAAATCGCGATCGATTATTATCGATTTATTTTATTTATTTATTATCGTCAGAGGCTGCTTACTAATGGTAGCAAAAAGTCGCGAGACGTGTTGATGTTGATTTTGCTCGGATTCATATTTTTTTTCGACACGTTGTTCTTCATCCTTAAAAAATTAAATTGCGTGGGACGAGTACGTTTTGTCGATCAGTCAATCAATCAATCAATCAATCGTAATTTTTTTTTTTGAGAGAGAGAATTGGAATTTTGTCGAGTATCGGAATATATATAAAAAAAAATTTGAGCGCGTTTGAAAATCTTTTTTCATTTAAATCATAAATTTATTATTATTATTATTATTATTATTATTATTATTATTATTATTATTATTATTATTATTATTATCGTTTAAAGGTTTTAAAACTTTCGAGAGAAAAAAAGTTCGTTTTTTTTTTCCTATTCGTTTCGCAAAAATAAAAGCCGCCTTTAAGGTTTTATTAGGGTTTTTTTTCTGTGGAAAAACTTTTCTTTTTCGCGGTAAAAAAAAAAAAAAAAGTTTTTCAATTGTTTTGAAACAATCGTTTGGATTTTAATAGGAAAACGACTTTTCCGTTTAAGTTTTTTGTTTGTAGTTGTAGTTGTAGTTGTTGGATCTTCAAAAAAAAAAAAATTAAATTTTATTAAAATAGAATTTAATTTCGACACTCGATTTGGTTTTCATATAATAAAAGAGTTTTAAGTCTGTCTCTCTCTCTCTCTCTTTTTCTTGACTCTCGGCTATTGTGGGTTTCCATTTTTAACTCGGAGGGTGAATTATAATGAAGGAGGTGGTGATTCATTCCGGGAATGAAATCTTTTTTCTATTTTAATCAATCACTTTGACGACTACTCTTTTCAAAAAAAAATTTTTTTACTTTTAAAAATGTTCGTGCGTGTGTTTTTATATTTATTTTCCCTCGAATTTTCCACAATGATTTGAAAATTATAATTTCTCTCTCTCTCTCTCTCTCTCTCTCTCTCTCTCTCTCTCTCTCTCTCTCTCTCTCTCTCTCTCTCTCTCTCTCTCTCTCTCTCTCTTTCGAAATGTTTGTTTTTTTTTTCGATTGGTTTACGATAAGGGACAAATTGGTTTTTGCTTTTTAATGCTTTAATGTTATTCGAATTTTCTAGAAAACCAATTGATTATTTAATTTTTTTTTTCTCACATAAACAATCGATCAGGTTTTAAAGGTCTATTATAAAATGTAAGGAGGTTAAATTCATCCCTCCTTCCCCCCCCAAAAAAAAGAGACATATTAAATCATTTATTTTAATCAAGATGGGTTTTAATAAAAGGGATTTTAATACACGAAAATTTTCATTCAGTTTTCACTTCCCCTTAAAAACGTGGTGGGGGAAAAAAAATCCATTTCCGGTGGTGTGAAAAGGAAAATCGAATCAAAGTGACTGATTGTTACGCCGCGTATGCCTTAAGAATTTTTTCCTTTTTTTTTTAAGGACGTAAATCATTAAGAAATGAGGTCTTGAATAGAAAAAGGAGTGATTTATGACAATGACGATGAATTTTCTAACCTGGTTGTTTGTTGTTTGCCGTGAAATAGTTGTAGAACAAAAAAAAATTATTATTATTATTATTATTATTATTATTATTGTTTCAATAATAAAATGATATACCGCAGATTGCGGTTAATCAGTCAGTCATTCAGTCGATTGTTTTTTTTTTTTTTTTTTTTTTAATAAGGATAAATG